CTAAGGGTGTTGATTATGGATCCAAGTGAAATGAAATCCCTAAACACCTCAATCTTCTTTCCATTTATCATGATGTTGCTTATTGGTCCAGTTGTGAGGATTTTTTGTTTTATGTTGAGGTGTAATCCATATTGGAAACTGTAGTCTTTGATCTTCATCAGTAATCAAGTCCTCTTCACTTGCAGCAAGTAAGGTGTGTCATCTATATTGTGGATTGTTATTAAGTTGTCTTCTAATCCTGACGCTACATTCTTCTTCATATAGTCCAGCTTCTCGGATTATGTGCTCAACATACAAATTGAGTAAGTATGCTGAAAGGATACAACCCTGATGCATACCCTTCCTGTTTTTAAGCCATTTGCTATCCCCCTGTTCTGTTTGAACAATAGCCTCTCGGTCTATGTACAGGTTCCACCATTAAGTTTTCTGGAATTCCTATTTTTCACGATGTTATCCATAATTTGTTACAATCCACAGTCAAATGCCTTTGCATAGTCAATAAATTGCAGATAAACATTAAAGATTACAGCCTTGGAAACTCTATTATTGGGCAATTCTACTCTGTTATGTAGGATTGCTATGAGTCAGAATTGACTCAACAGGAATGGATTTGGTTTTTTTCCTCTCCAGTACTTTCCCCTGTGAATTTTAGCTATCTTGGCCTCCTAGAATTCTGTTTCTTCAACTCAAGGAGACTGCATAGCTTTGAGTTCCCCCTCCTTGCAGTGTGACCTGCAAACTCCTTCCAAGCAGTAAGTTGAGGGCAGTTGTAGGACTTCATTGTTTTATCTTTTCTCAAAGATCTCTGATGTGTGTGCTTCTTAACTAGTGGCTGAAACCCACAGTTTCAAATGTTGTCTGGTTTTTAGTTATTTTACAATAGTAGAGAAAAAAACAGTCCCTATTTCTCCATCTTTTCCAGCAGTAGACATACTTTGTTGCTCACATTCCTTGCTAATGAGCAATCAGTTAGCATATACTGAGGCAGGCTCTCAGCCTGCGGTAATAAATCCCACCCACTCCACTTGACCAAAATCACAAAATCCTGCCACGAGTTTTCATTTTCATTTTATTTTTTACACCATTGACTACGACAGCGAATTCTACTCCCATGATGTTGGCATGGCCCTAGTATCTCAAAAGGTATTGCAAGTATCTTTAAAGCTAAATTAATTTCACTAAAAAAGGGAAGGGCACATAAATACTTGGAAATGAATAATAAAACAAAGATATCTTAGGTTAGAAATGAAAAACTCTTTGCATTGGTTTTGGAGGAAGAACTCTTTGACTCTCCCCAGCTTCTCAGCAGGTCAGATGCTTCCCAGAAAGCAGCCCAGGGTTTGGCCTAGTTGCCTGAGATTCCTGCTGGCCGTGCCCTGCTTCCTTTGAAGAGCTCACTGAGCAGAACATGGGCAAAAAACGTTGAGGTGGGTTACTAAGGAGCATCTGAACTGTCCGTCTTGTTTATTAGAGAACAGATTAAAACAAAACAAAGCACGTTGTTACTGTGGGGCATGTGCCCCACTAAAATCTCTCTCCGAGGTACTAGTCTTCCAGATGCTCCTCGCTCTACAGTGAGACCAGGAAAGGGCCTTGCAGCAGTCATTTTAGCTTTTGAGATGGCTAACAACTTTGCTTAAATTGTAGATTTTGCCATGTAATCTTACTTTAAGAGCAAGATACTCTGGAACTAAGGAAAGCAAGAAAATAATCAACTGGAGTCCTTGTGTCATGGTGATGAATGTATTAGTTTTAGAGGGAAATAATGGAAATGAAAGTGGCTTTGTATCATTTTCAGAATGACTTTTGCACAATTTAAATCCTCCCTCCCTTTTTTTTAAAAAAAAAAACAAAAACAAGAGAATGAGCAAATACAATCAGTACCTGAAGCCTTGGGAAAAATGTACCAGGAGCTTCAGTGTGACTGAGAAGAGCTGACTCTCATCTAGGTAAGAAAGGATAAAACTACTTACAAGCAATAAGAAAAGCAAGGTATCAACACTAAAACCTGAGTTGACCTATTAGAAAGGGCACTTTGTCTGTGTGCTATGTGAATGTTTGGTTTTTGGTTGAGGAGCCCTGTGGCTGTTCTAGCTACAGCTTGCGGAAGGCTTCCAGCTTGTTAGCAAAGTGGTGTCAAATGCAGGTGCCTGCCTCTGCCGGTGAGCTTTTACAGCCATTTCCTTGACTGTGCAGTTTTTCCATCTGCAAATGATGGCTAATACCACCTGCCAGATGATAGTCATATTTATGATTTTTAAAAAATTCTGTAGTTTAGACTGGTGTTTTAGTTAATGAAGTCTTTCCATATAGTAGCTAATTTTACATTAAACACTGAATTAAGGTGTCACATTTTTCTTGCAGGTGAGGAAATGGAGAAGTTAGGAGGTCAAGAAAAGTTAAGTAACCTGGTAATTGTTCCAGGTGCAGGGACTCAACCAAGACCTCAAAATTTTTGATTAGTGTTCCTTTGCTAGAATGTGTTACCTCCCCCACCCCAATTGGGAAGACACTAGGACCAGCCCTAAGGCTAATCCTTTATGACTGTTTCTTTGCTCTGCTTCACTGAGCACCTGCTGTACCAAGTTGTGTTGGCATGTAGCTTCGTGTCATTTTCCCCTAAAAGCAGCGGGGTCAATCTGGAACATGACACTGGCCCAGTCTGGTGTCTGAAGATGTGAGAATTCTGGTTGTGGTTTTCTCGCAGCTCCCCCATTACTGCCTAATACCGTTTTTGGTAATTACTTTGCTGACTGTGTCAAAAAGCAGCACAATTCAATTCACTTAATGTAGAGAGTGGCAAAAAGTTGCTAAGGAATGTCCGCAGGGATTGGTCCTCCTGCCTTTAATGCTGGAAGGGTGCTTGACTCATTAGGAGCAAAGAAGTCCAGAGTGGCAGGCTCCCAAACAGTTATAATAAAGGTTCTAACAATTGCTTGTTGAGATGGCTTGTACTTCAGTGGCTGAGCTTTTTCAGTTTGTCAAATTACAGATTAAATAGTAATGATTTTCCACATGACCAAAGCATTTAAGGAAAATCATATTTTTCTTGAAAAATGAAATTTATGTTGTTGTTATGTGCCATAGAGTCAGACCCGACTCATAACCGACCCCACCTTGGGTTTCCAAGGTGGTATCACTACTATCTCTAGCACCGATTTCCAAAACCCCCACCCTTGTCAGGTGGAACCAAATTAGAAATCTGAATCAAATTATTACATATTAGGTATTGTTCACCCCTGACTGACATGACTTCTGTTATTAGTGTTCTAGACACTACATAAATTAGGGCAATGCTGAGTTTGATAAAATGTATATAATGTGGGGCAGGTGAACTGGGTGGTTCTAACTCCAGCGATGATGATGGTAAGTTTATATGCTTCTCAGCCACTAGTTGTACTAGTGGCTGTGAAGTTGACTCCACCTCATGGTGTCTGCATGTGTGTCAGAGCATCAGAGCAGACCTGTCCTTCACTGGGTCTTCAGTGGCTCACCAGGCCAGCCTTTCTTTGGAGGCCCCTCTGGGTGGACGTAACCCTCTTACCTTCTGGTCTGTGGCTATTCGCCCCACCTAGGGATTTCTTAGCCACATCCAGTCCTTAGTTACTCCCAGAGGGTCCAATGTGGAGTGTTTTGACCTCTGTGCATTGGCACCTTATAAAATTTACTCTTTATCACCAGCAGATTAGACTTCATATTTTATAGAAGGTGCTTCCTGTACATACATACACCTCAATCATTGCACTGAATGTACTACGTACAGGAAGCCCTCAGGTTATGAATGAGATCCATTCCTAAGTGGTCACATTTGTAGGTTAGCTGGAACTGGTAAAAACAGTTTTTATCTAGCCTTACTTCAGTGCAAGAAGAGGCTCAAAGCCTTTTCAATGATTTAAAAGCTGCATGTGCAGCAAGTGAAAGTGACTGTGAAGAAGAATTTGTTGTGAGTAGGGGTTGGGCCAGTCTGCTCAAAGTGAGGGCAAATTTACAAAACTTAGGGACAACATTTACAAGTTATCCCTAAGTTGGATGTTTGTAACTGGGAAACTTAATTGTATTTGTCTTGATTGATTTTCCCTTTGAGACCATGAGCTTTTAAGTACAGGTAATGCTCTATTCAACATTTTAAAATTATGCCTAATATGTGCCAAGTCTTAGTTTACAAACTGTTTTGGTAACTCAGTACACCAATATTTTACTTCTTTTTCTTTTTTTTCTGCAACTTTTCACAAAGGATTTGCTGTAAGCCTCCAAGTCATCTTGTCCAATCCAAAAGCTGTATTTAAGCGCCATGGATCCCAGCCAGGGATGCAAGAATCTGACTTTCTAAAACAAATAACAACAGTTGAAGAATTGGAGCCAAAAGCAAACAACTGCACCAAGGTACTCATTTCACTCTTGCTGCTTGGCCCTGCCGAGTGTCAGCATAAGAATGAGGCGACCCAGACTATTTCCCTTCTCTGTAGGTTCTCGTGTGGCACACTCGGACAGAGAAGGTCAATCTAGCCAACGAGCCAAAGTACCACCTGGACACAGTGAAAATTGAGGTATAAATTGCAGCAGCTGGTGCAGTTTGCCTGGCCAGTGGATATGGATGAGGATGTTTGCAGTTTAGGCCACAAAGCATTCAGGTATTGTTCATTTTACTTAAGTATAACAGCCCTTATTGTCATCTGATGGACATCTGTACAAACAGAGCTTGTCAGCTAACATAAGCTAATTGGATGGTATAAGATGTGTGTTTTGCCTTCATTTGTTATGCATGTGTTCCCCACAAACCAAACATCTTCGTACAATACATAGCTAAGTACAGCTAAATGACACTACAAGGTACCATTCTGAGTATCTTACACACCCACCCACCCCAAACTATGGCCTTGTAGAACCTGAAAAGGTTTGGCCGAATAAATGTTTCCTAGTTCTTGACTTTCCAACATTAAGTAATTTTTGGAAGGTTGGTGGCAGTATATATCATAGGAAATAAAATCCACACAAAGGGTCTATGGATTCATCTGTTTAATATAGGGAAATAACATTTTGTCAATACTAGGCACCATAAAATGTAAACACAATTGCTGTCATAAACCTGGATATACCTTTAAGAATTTAAAGTGGCTTTGTAATAGTTACCCTGTTTGCATATAGTGCAGAGAAAGGTCTTCATATCAGTACTGTTTGTATGTAAGAAGAGATCCAAATTACCAGAGAGGCAGATAAAATTTGAATTCTTTAAACATTCATTAAACTAAATTTATAGTAACATCCAGGTTTATTTTCCTTTCACTAACCACGTTCCCTGTTAAGCACATCATCATAACAGCACAGTGAAGTGAATGATGAAATAAAAGAATTTTGATGATATACTAGAAAAACAGTGCTCAGTGATACATTTACATTCTATTTATATGATTAAACATTTGATCATACAGTATCTTCCTACAGGATTACTGGCTAATTTCAGGGTAGGGTTTATACTGTTAGAGGTATTACTAACATGATAACTACTTCTTCCCTTATGTTGCAAACATTAGAGCTATACTTTTAAACTGATTATGCAAGTTGATGGAGTAGCTTCTCAAAGAATGTCATTTATGAAATCATAGGGAATTCATGGGGAGTTATGAGCAAAGCTGCCCTTGACATAAAATGGTTTCTCAACCTGCTTTTCACCACATCAAATTTAATCAGTACAGACCAACAAGGTCAATCAGATAATTCTGAATGAATGAGGAAAAGGAAAAAAATGTATGTACATGAATAAAAAGGGGAACTAGATGCGTTTTAGCAAGGAATGTCAGGTGGTAGTTCTGGATGAAACTTGTATTGCCGTTTTCATTTCCAAAGCTGTGTGCTGAGTGTCTGACCTGATGAGCTTCCAGACCATCCTGCTGTTGTGCTGGGGGGCTGGCCAAAACCCACTGCAGGGTTCGCAGTACTGATATTCACGCCAGCCATCTGCTGATTCATCTGTGAATTACAGGAAAGGTGTAGTTCAAGAGGCTGACTTCACAATTTCTTTAGGCACAGTTGGACACTGTTTACAGAAGTTCAGTTAGTCAAGTATAACCTAACACAAGTCTAACACCAATGACTAGAATTATTTTTCATTCTTCAATGTGAAAATAAGTCCAAGTATCAGGGTAAAATCAGACAACTACACAATTATTTCTCCATTTCAGTACAGGAAGCAAATAGCTGCTACTATTGTGTTTTCTCCACTTTTGAGCACTATTATAATTTCTTATATCCAAAGATTAGCCACACTGAAAAAAAGTACCAAAGCACTCTTTCAATACAAATTATCTGGGTATATATTTTAGAATGAGACCACTGTTCTGACTTTTCAGCTTTATCAACTATAGTATATAGTAGGTTAAGGATTAAGAAAATTTTACAAAATACAATGCTTCAAAATTATTCCTGAATTATTCCTGTGATATGCATATATATGCATATGCTAGCTATCATTCTACCTTTATTAAAGTTTTAAAAGGCTTTATATGCTTTATAAATATACTTTATAAATATACCTACTCCTCACTTGTTGACTATCTCGTTATCTAACATTTATTTCAACAGTAAAAAAATCTATTCAACTATTCTGAGCATTAATGATGTCTGAGCATTAATGATGCACATCTGGCAGTAACAAATGCTGAGACGAGTAAAGAGGCCTGTTAAGGTTGTGTGTTGGCTGGGCCATGATTCTCGAGGTCTTCAGAGGTCTGGCAGTTAGGTAATGATGTGCTCACCCTCCAGTTTCCCACAACTGTCTGCAACTGCATTTTGGAACCTGACCATGTCAATATGTGAGGAGTGGGTATATTTAAAAAAAAAAAAAAAAAAAGTGTCACAAAATACACATTTTTTTTCCTTATCTTATAACTGAAACAGCTGAAATAAGATTAACATGTCTTTTTTCCCCTACACTCAATGTGTACATAAGCATCTTAACCTTTTCCTTCCCTGTTCTTCACTTACTTCTAAGATTGACAATGAAAGGTAAGGCAAGAAGGTTTACCATAAAGTACAGATTGGGTTTGAAACCTATGCTTGGAGTTAGACTGTAGTCTTAATATAGTTCAAAGATACTAACATTAACAACATCACGGGTCAGGCCTAAAGAGTAATTTCTTATCTAGTACCTTAACTTGAGCTTGGTGTGCTTCAGTATATTTTGGCCACACCAACGCTGTTACTCACATTTAAAGGAATGTATTCCTTTTGAAAGCAGAAATAACTTGGGGGAGGGGAATTCATGAGATGCAGAGGTTACAGAGTAGTTAGAAATCACAAAGGGAAGAGGAATCTAGGAGCCCTTCTCTACCTTCTCTATATTCTTCTATATTCTCTATAAAAAGTCAGAACGAAGACCACTGCTGTTGAGTCAATTCTGACTCACAGCAACCCTATTGGACAGAGTAGAACTGCACCATAGGGTTTCCAAAGTAAATCTTTAAGGAAGCCGAGTATCTTATCTTTCTCCTGCAGAGTAGCTCAGAGTAGCTATCAGGCTCAAACTGCCAACCTTTTGGTCGGCAGCTGAGTGCTTTAACCTTTGCACCACCAGGGAGCCTTGAATAGAGCATATAACATGATTTGAAAGAGAATACTAAAATGTCTTACACCTCTTGGGTTTAAATCAACTTAGGTAGAAAGGTAGAAAAAATAAGCATGAAGGAAATACAACCTTGCAAATATTTGGGATCAAAATTTACAAATCCGTGAGCAGCAGCCACATGAAGCCTTGATCCCTCACAAAATAACGAAGCTGGTTTTTTTCGTCTAATTTGTGAAAGTTATACAAAACGTCGAGTATAGGTTTGTTTAAGTAGACTATACCCACACCATACACTATTAGGAGGCTTTAATTAAAGCTTAGTGCTAATTCAAAAGGTAGCAGAAAGCTACCGAAATAGGATACCTAAATGGGAAAGTTTATCATTTTAGTTGTTACAATCTGAAAAATGATTTACATCTTTTTAACAATAAAAATAGGGACAGTCACAGATCAGTTGTCTATTGAATGAAAATATATGTATGTTACTCTATTCTTTCTGCTAGGTTTAAATATAAAATACAAATAACCCTTTCAGATAAGCACTCTGGTTTCTGTGATGTTAGAAGGTGGAAAGTAAATGATCCATACCTGTGAGAGGCCCCACTGTGGCTGCGGAGCTGGAGGCAGACCAAACTGACTCTGGGATGCACTCAGCTGTCCCACCATTCCTCCTTGGGGCCCAACAACAGTTTGAGGAAGCGGCATCACACCAGTTTGTGCATTTCCCATAAAACCATTGGGCATGGGCATGCCCACGATCATGCTTGCACTCTGTCCCATTACATTTCCTAAAAGGCCAGGAGCTACAGGTACCCCCATTGATGGAAAACCTTGAAATGCAGTTGGTGCTTGTGAGGTAAATGGTACATTTGCAGGCCCCATAAACACACCTGCAACACAGCATGAAATGAAAACAGGGTTATTACATACGCATACAGCTGCAGTTGCCTTTATAATCACAGCAAAAGGATTATCATCTTTCTAAACTACCCAGAGCAAAATTTTAATTCCTATCTGGCTGCTCCTACTGTTCAGACCACCTCATACTTAAACCAGATCTGGCTATTTCTAGAATGCAGACAATCAATTACACTCACTCCTCACGTATCGATATGGTTGGATTCCAAAGACCCAGTCATTATGAGAAAGGTCAGTGACCAAATGCCTCTCAGGCTTTGGAGGCAGTCCCATGGGGCTACTTGCTTATCTCCATCCTGTGACCTCCCTCCATACTGTGACTTCCATCATTTCAGGCAGGTGGGTTGGCTTGGGCCATGTCAAACCAGAGGAAGAGCTGATAAGGTCAGGATGGGTAGCCAGGAGGGGCCTTGCCCTACTCTGACCCACCCACAGTTCTGGCTCTACTGCAGTGATCACTGCACATTCCTCTGCCGCCACCTTGTGGCACAAAGCTGTAGCTCCACCACAAAACTTGCAGGTGAATGGCCCAGCCATCAGTCCTTCCCCATCCCTCTTGAACATTTGCACCCAAAACTGGGAAGCGAGGCTGAGGAGGGGGGAACTCCCTCATTCAAAAACACATGGGTCCTTTCCTGGCTGTAGGGTGATTTAAGTAGATTTTTTACTATTGTCATAAATGAGAAATATCAGATAACGAGATAGTCAATATGTAAGCAATAGGTATATTATTCTGAACAAATTTAGGAAAAATAAATCTCACATAATAGCCACATAAAACATCAATTCTGAAGACCAACCTAGATATGAGGTATGTTGTTTCTGTTGACTTCTACCACTTGCCTCCCATCATCAATAGAGAAGTGAAAGTCAGACTGTATCTGGCTTTAAAGAAGCAGATGGGCTGCCATACAATTTCACTTATATATGACATGCAGTTATTATTTTAGAGGAAATGGTTTGACAGGTTTTAAAACAGTGTAAACAAATCTTATACTGCTAATATTAAATTATAAAATATATTTTAAAGCTGTTTGGAATCCATGTGATAATTAAGATTGCTTATTGTTTACCTGCAGGGAAATATACTGTACCCAAAGTCATAAACTTCATGCAAATCAAATTTCAGTGATTCTTCAAAGATAATCCATGTCCTCTAAGTTTGTGAAACCATATTAAGTGATATGTGAACAGCTTGTTATTTCTCAATGAATAAAGAATTGTGAATCTTGTATGTACTTTTTAATTCTAAAGCTTCATGTATTTAAATGGCAACAACAAAAACACCTATTACCTAAAAATAAAGAGAAAACACATAATTGACCCTTCTAGCATCTATTTTTAGTACTGCCACTGCGTTTACTGAGAGTTGATTTCAGGAATAATTACCAGGAGTGTTCTGCTGTTGGATTGTCCCTGTACCATACAGAGATAAGATGGAGTCTCTGGAGAGCTGTTTCTTTGTGGATTCTTCTGATTTTGTAGTTTGCTCAGTGAATAGATCCAGATCCCCAGATGCTACAGTAGACAGAGGGGTAGCTGCTGCTACAGTGGGTGTCCCCTGAGACAAACACCAAAAAACCTGTCAAATTCTGCACAGTAGAAGCATAGCTTATCCACTGCTTGTGAGCTCTGGTAGCATAGTGGCTAAGGCACTTGACTGCTAATCAGAAGGCTGGCGGTTCAAACCCACCAGCCACTCCTCGGAAGGAAAGTGGGGCAATCTACTTCCGTAGTGATACTGCCTCAGAAACCCAAGGAGGGGTCATTATGAGTCAGATCCGACTCGACGGCACATAACAACATCCACTACTTAAAATCAAATCCAAATTAAGGTTAGGAAATTGAACAGAAATTAAACTACTGAAGAAAGTAAAAATGGTGATATGAAAGAGGAACATAATTTGAAGGTGATCATAATAGCTTATGTTTACCTGCTAAGCTGGCACTGGATTTTTGCTCATCACATCCTGACCTCATTGGGTTCAACATGGGTTCAACAAACTATGTGGACCTAAGATGCCCAAGCATCTGCCTCTTTCAGCAACCCCTGCTCAGGGAACTGGTGACCCAGGGAATGAACACTTCTACGACTACACAGACTGCAAGAGGGTGCTGCCTTGGCTGATGGGAAGGCTCTGGCGTTTCAAAAGCAGCACTGGGTGTTTTTTTTAAAAGTGTGATTTAGGTGAAAATTTACAAAGCAAATTCATTTTCCACACAGAGGTTCATACACATTTTGTTTCATGACATTGATAGCAAACCCTACAATGTAACAGCTCCCTTCCCACTTCCCCCCTGTGGTTACCTTTCCCTGTGTCCTCCTTTCCTATGCATTCCTACCCTCTGAGTTATCTCCCTGTGCAAACACTCCCATCTGATCTCCCATGACTGAATGTTCTAAGGAGTGTACTTACCTGGTATAAATGTTCACCCTTATATGTCTGTCTTTGTTTGGCTGGAAGCCAAAGGAGTGGGTTTAATTACAGGCTCAAAGGGTGACTAGGGCCAAAGTCTCAGGGATCTCACCACTCCGTATCAGACCAATAAGCCTGGTCTTAGGATTTTGACTTTTGTTCCACACTTTACTCCCACTTTATCCAGGATCTCTTGCATTGATCCCTTTCTGAGTGGTTGACAGAGATAGCCAGGCACCATCTAGTTCTTCTGGCCTCAGGGACATACAGGCTAAGGTTTGCATAGTCCACTGGTCCCCTGGACTAATTGTTCCCCCGCATCTTTGGTTTTCTTCATTATTCTTTGCTCCAGACAAGGAGAGAACAATTGTTCCATCTAGATGGCCACCTGTAAGCTTTTTAAGACCCTAGTTGCTACTCACCAAAGTTGGATACAGAACAATGTTTTTAGTATATTATGCCAATTGAGCTTGATGTCCCCTATGATCATATAGTCCCTAACCCACAGGCCCAACAACTTCCTCCCTCAGGGTGGTTGGCTGTGGCTAACAAATTATCATAAATCTGCCCCATGTTAGTTCTATTTATAATATGTACATATTTAAAGCACATAAAACATATATGTAGAAGTATCATCTGCCTAACATATATGGTCATGGGTATATTCCCTTTTGCTTAAATATACCTGATCATTCAGCTTGTCTATGCATTGGGTGATTTTTATAACCTACCTTAAGATCAGTTTTAACCATGATACTAGAATGCTTCTAATTTGTCTGGTAAAAACTTAATCACCTACGCTATTAACCATCACAACCTATACTCTACTTTTGGAAAAGGGAGCAAGTGAACACAAATACAAAAACACACATGAAAATATTCAGTATATAACAAGCAAAATATTTGGCTTATCCTCCTGCATCCTGCACACAGATGACTGTACAATACTGATCATTTCACTTAGGCTGCTGAGTTTGAACCACCAGCCTTCTGGTTAGCAGTCAAAATGCTTTAGGCTCTATGCCACCAGGGCTCCCAAAGATCTCTGCAGTCACTGAATATATTCAATCATGTACTAATTTTACATGGACAGAGCTGCAAAGAATTCTATGAAGATTAGTAAAAGCTGGCTAAGATTCTTTGCAAACTATAGGATAGAATGAAGAGAGCAAGGAAAAGTTAAAGATCATATGTATAATTTGCCTTGAATTTTGAAAAAATTCCAACTATTGTCCTGGTTAGCAACCTTGTATGTATTCTATTCACAAACAAAATTTAAGCAGAATATTTTAAATCTATTATGATTGATGAACAAAAATTTTGCGATACAAAGGAAAAACCAATTAATGTCGTGCCAAAAACAAAAAAAAACACCACCTGAAATTAGGCATGATGGAATACTGAATATAATAATGCTCTTGAATAAAATATATCCAAGCTACTAATGAAGAGGAAAAAGATCACCACAGCTAAAAAAGCACATGGGCCCTGGCGCCAGCCTGCCTAGACAAGAACCCTGGCCCCACCATTCACCATGCGTGTATTCTTAGATAGGTCACACAACCTCTCCACTCAGTATGTCTTCTGTGAAACAGTAATAAAAAGATTATTTACCTTCTAGAGATTCCTGAGGGGAGCTCTGGTAGCATAGTGCCTAAGGCACTTGACTGCTAACCAGAAGGCTGGTGGTTCATACCCACCAACCACTCCTCGGAAGGAAGGTTGGGCAACCCTACTTCCGTAGTGATACTGCCTTGGAAACCCAAGGAGGGGTTGCTATGAATCGGGGCCAACTCGACAGCAAATAACAACAACAACAACAACAACATCTCTGCCTAAGGCACTGGCCGCTAACCAGAAGCCTGGCAGTTCACTCACCAGCCACTCCTTGGAAGGAAGATGGGGCAATCTACTTTCGTAGTGATACTGCCTCGGAAACCCAAGGAGGGGTCGCTATGAGCTGGATCCAACTCGACAGCACATAACAACAGATTCCTGGTGACCACAAGAAGGGCTCTGCACAGTGGCGTGTTCACTCAGTGCTTACTGTCAATGTTGTTAGACAGCAAAGCATCCATAACAATGTTTTTCATCTTATTAGCATTTACATATCAAATATACATATTTATTTATTTTGAGGGTGTGGTGGGGTGTTCCATTTACTAGCACTAGAACCTCAGGATAAAAGGACACCACCCAATACCTGTCATTTTTTACTTCAGGAGGCTACAAGGCCTTCCACCAAAGGATTTTCTGGCCTTTTGGGATCCCAGGAGAGGACACAGCACCTGTGCGGTCTGGATACTAATGGTGAATGTATACTATAGATAGGGCAGGAAATGGAAGCTCTAGAAATGGTCCCCCCACCCTCAATACACATGTACCCTCTTGTCAGCTGAGTAATTCTAAGCCCCTTAGCAGATGGTATCAATTCATATCATACTCATGAGTAGGAATCTCTTTTACCAGAATTTGCACTATGCTCATAAAATAAAACTAGGGGTGAAGAATATACAGAAAGTTCAGAGAGTAACTCGTAATTGTGGTATAAAAACGATTTTAGTTCAATTCCATATAATAAAAATCCACCAACGTTAGTAATTTGCATCATACTAGTGTATTCATAAAATTTGAACTTTCTATTCTACACAATAAATTTTATTTGGAAGCTTCAGTGCAATGGACTGCTTTTACATGGCCTTCCTGGCTATGGTCTTATAATTCCCACCAAATGATTGGGGAGGACTATGAAAGTAAGGGAGCTCTGGTGGCGTAGTACCGAAGGCATTTGACTGCCACCCAGAAGGCTGGCGGTTCAAACCCACCAGCCACTCCTCGGAAGGAAGATTGGGCAGTCTACTTCCATAGTGATACTGCCTCGGAAACCCTAGGAGGGGTCGCTATGGGTCGGAACTGAATTGACAGCAGTGAGTTTTTTTTTTTTTTTTTTTAATGTAAGTAAGGTGCTTGTGGGCTCACCAAGGGGACTGGGCTGTTAGCTAAAAATAAAAATAAGGTATATAGCATCCTGTGAGGGTGAGACCATGCAAAGATGATGTATGGAACCCTAATGAGGAGAGTGGTGAGTTTTGCAATCCCACTAGGCTTAAAATGAGTCATCCCAGAGGTGTAAAGAGGGTAATCTTACTACCACCAAGAAAAAGAGAGGAGAGCAGAACACATCCTTTGTCTCAGGGTCCCTTCACTGAGAACCTCCCAGACCTGGGAGACAGACAGATAGTGAGAGAGTTGTAACACTAGAAATGGTGTAAAATGATGAGAAGTGGCAGCAGCACAAGACAATGGGAAACAGGCACAAGACAATGGGCTTCCTGTCCCATGGAGCAAGGCAGTTACAGTGGATGTGATCCACAAAGCGAAAAGGCTGGGTGCCTTTGGGCAGGAGGCTTCCTTTTGGAGTAGGGTACCTGTGGGCACTTGTCAACAGAGCTAGACTTGCCAACCCACAGAGCACAAGAGCTGTATGCTTTGGGGTCAAGGCTTACTAGCAGAGTGGGGTACCCCTGGGCATTTACTGGCAGAGCTACAGAGCTTTGTAAACTAAAGAGCTTTGTAAAACTTGCCTGAGCATGGGAGAGGCCAGGCTGGGGGCCAGAGATCCAGAGAGAGACTTTCCTGCAGGCACAGCTGAGAAGAGGCTGTTCCCATCAAAGAACTATATCCTGAGTCATTCCTGATCCTGAATTGTAACCTGTTACTTCCCTAATCTGTAACTGTGAGAATGGTCTGTGAATTCTGTGTGGCCATTGCAGCAAATGATCAAACCCAACAGAAAGGCAGAGAGTGCCGTGGGAGGATGGGAAGGACAGGTGGGTAAAGCAATGAAAAGGCTGAGTGTGGAGGTGTGTTTGACCTCCACCTCACAGTGATCAGCAGCCTTGTGCTCCTGAAGCTGATTTCCCCACACCCATTGTGAAGTTATGAGCTGAGAGGGTCAGATACAGACACCCCAACACCATTCTTACAGAGAAGCTTCATCCTCTCCCATCTTCAAAGGCATTAGTTTGAAAGAAAAAGTCTGGGTTTTAATCTTTATATGTACTTTACATAAAAGCTAATTCTGTTCACCAGGTATTTTGTATTTATAGGGCTCAATACAGCTGCCACAATTCCAGTCCAGAAACAAAGTGATTAAACTAGATGTGAATAAAAAAATAAACTGTTACTGTATCAGTTAGTGATCTGAGTGCAGAAAGTATGACAGCCAGACCAGCCTCTCAAAAAACCAGGAAATACACTACCACCACCCCATCCAACTCCTTGTTATGATGCCTGCTTAAGAGTTAAATTAAGTCTGCACTGTTTTATTTGCTGCTTTGATACTGAACAAATCATGAACTACACTGAAGCCTCAGACGTGGTGTCCAATTCTCCAAGCAGTCGCAAAGCAACTTTCATACCGCAGTGGAATCTGAAGAAGTCCAGCAGATATAAAAGCCTCACCAGAATGCTAAACTAAAACAAACTGCTTTTCATGCTAAGATTGTCAAAATACCCAAATACTTCTTTCTAAAGCACCAACGGTAGAATTAGACAATTTTTTTACTCCCATATGCATATTTGTGCCTGAACAAATTCACAAGGTAGTAAATGTTAATTAATTGAAATAACAGTAGCAACACTGAGTCCCCTCTTTTATGTGTTGCAGGAGGGGCAGAGCCATAAATGCATAAAAAAAAGACAAGCTATCTTTGCTGAAAATAAACTAATGCTGGCAGGCAACTGATAAAGATCCAAGTTTAAATGGTTAAACCAATTGCTAAGGAATCTATTTTTTCAATTCTAGTAGTAACTATACAATGACTACAACAATAGTAATAAACATGTTTAAATTAGGTGTAATTAGTCTCCTTAAAAGACAGGCTCTTACTAAAGTGTTCCATCCAAACTATTCAGAATTGAATCAATTTTTCTAGAGAAAAATATTTTACCTCAAAAATCATGCTGTACTGAAACTAGTTGTACATTTATAAAGCATAAATTGAAATTTTAACATATATTTATTAAGCATAAATTGAAGTTCTTAAGAGTAATCTATATTCTGAAAGTTCATATATTTCACCTTATAGAAATTTAATGGACTTAATTAAAGGGCAATTCTAAAACCCTCACTATTAATATTTTTAAATTTGAAATCTGGATCATTAAATGAATTCAAACAAGGTGAAATGACTGCTTAAAATAAGAGGTTTTAAGGCTAGCAATTTATTTTCATAAAAAAGCTGTATTTTAAATAGAAAAAAAATGAAATTTATATGAAGTAGGAAAGAAGTGAGCAAGAATTTCTTATTTTTAGTTTTCTTGCAAGCAGAAATTAACACCAGCTGGGAATGGTGCAATGGAACATAGGAACTATTAGCTTCCAGTCAATATTTACAAACAAAGCCTACAGTTTAAAACCCTCCAAATAAGTGACCTTGTTGATCTCAGGCAAGGCTCAAGTAGTCTGAGTTTTTCCACTAGTCGGTTCTAAACAACTGTTTAAACCCTGCCTAATAGAAGAGTTAGCAAACATTTTCTGTAAAGGGCCAGATAGTGACTATTTGTGGGCTTTACAGTCTCTGCTATAATGACTCAATTCAGCTTTTGTAGTGTAAAAGCAGCCATATATTGTACATAAATGAATGGGAATGGTTATATTACAATAAAGCTTTATTTAAAAAAATCAAGCTGTAGGCTTAGTTTGCTGACTTCTGGTATAACAAGCAGGAGACTTTCAAATAAATGACTGCTTAAAGTTTTCAAAACTGAAATTTAAAAACTGTTCAAAAAGGAAATAAGAAGTGACCATATAAAACCATATTCTTATCACATACCTGAGCTGGAGGCATGATGGTCGTGGGTAAGGGATTAGAAATCATCGGCCCAAAGATGTCCAGATCATCATTCAGGGCTGGCACTGTGGCTGTGTTCCCGTTGGTTACTGGCACCTCAGTAGGGCCATCTGGGAAGAACACAGATTAAAATGAGTTTTAAAGCAGAATCTGTTAATTGGGACATGACATTATTCTAAAAATTAATACATAGTTTAAAAAAAAAGTGAAAAAATTATAGATACAGTATGTTTCTTTTCTGTCCTCCATTAACAGATGAGCGGTGGCTGAGCTGGAGGTAAATTGGCCCAGGAACTGCACCTGGTTTCTGGCATGGACAGAAAGTATTCGACCACTGAACCACTAGTGCTTCCAGTTTTTAAAAACAGAAACAAAAAACCTGCTAACCTGGGAGACAGCTCAGGGGGTAGGAGGGCATGGAGGGTTGGACACAGGGAAGAGGTAATTATCTGGAGGAAGTTGAAGGGGAGCTGTTGCATTGTGGTAAACTGTAGTCAATGTCATGAGACAAAGTGTATGTGGTGAACTGCTGTATAGCAAGTGAATTTACTCTGTAAATCTTACCCAAATCACAATTAAAAAAAAAAAAAAAAAGGAAGAAGAAGAAAAAGAAACCTGCTAACACTTAATACAGTGTTTGTTTTGTGTCAGGTCCCCCAAAACAGACGTATGCACACACATGCACACAAACTAACACTCATTTCATCTTTATAAAAATGCTAAGACTTGTTATTAGCTGCCACTGAGCTGGCCACGAATGCATGGTAACTCCATGTACAACAGGATGAAATGCTACCTTCTACTGAGCCAAACAAATGACTGGTTACGGATTGGACCATTATGATCAGCAGGGCTTCCACCAGTTGATTTGTGAAAGGTGATCACCAGGCCTTTCTTCTTAGTCTGGATGCTCCACTGAAACTTTTTCAGCGTCATAGCCACACACGAGTAAGGTACTATCAATTACCCTCTTTTACAGATGGCAAAGAAAGTTAACAAATTTGTTCTGTGTCACAGAACTCAAGCAATAACGCTTGTATGTAACTTTATTCATTTATTATAAAAACAACACATTCTGATAAAATATTCAGTGCATGTAGAATGAATTAAAAGTCCCCTACCATACATTTTCTGCTTATAAACATATGCTTAACAATCTACATAGGATCACACAGAAATAGTTTTCTTTATATAACATTGTATGTACGTGTGTGCACAGTATGGCAGGGGAAGGATGCATTCTATGACATTGCATGGACCTATGATAACTTATTTACTCAGTCCTTAGTTAATGACCATTTAGTTTATTTCCAGATTTTCACCATTACAAAAACAGAGCAATGAACATGCAGGCTCCTTAATATAAAGGTTACACAGCTCACTTTCCTTCATTGCAAGGAACCTGACTTTTGTTTACACCACTGCACACTCCATGTAGCTCTATTTTTTTTTTTAAATTAAGTTTTAACTGACCTCTCAAAATATTAAATAAATAAATAAATAAAACAAAACTCACTGCTGTCGAGTTGGATCCAACTCATAGCAATCCCTCCTTGGGTTTCTGAGGCAGTATCGCTACGGAAGTAGATTGCCCAACCTTCCTTCTGAGGAGTGGCTGGTGGGTTTGAACCTCCAGCCTTCTGGTTAGCAGTCAGATGCCTTAGGCACTATGCCACCAAAGCTCCCAATAGCAAATTGTTGTTGGTGGTGGTGCCGTCAAGTCGGACCCGACTCATTAGCAATCCCTCTGTGGGTATCTGAGGCAGTATCACACAGAAGTAGATTGCCCCATCTGTCTTCCAAGGAGTGGCTAGTGGGTTTGAACCGCCAGCCTTCTGGTTAGCAGTCAAGTGCTTTAGGCACTGTGCTACCAGAGCTCCTATAGCAAATAGCAAACAGTAAAAATTAGGACACATTTATGGAGGGGAAAGACAAACTTAGGCTCTCTTTGTACCGGCTACCATGGTTAATGGAGCTATCATAAAAGTCAACTCACAATTTAAGTCTTAGGGACTTTGAAATCCTTTAGAATGAGACAGTACAAGCACCTTCTCTCAAACCCAGCCAAGGCTTCTCTCTGCTTCTCAGAGGTCCAGTCTTGTGATGGGCACAGGCAACTCCTCTCTGCTCTCACACCCACAACATATCTACCCCTGCTTCCTCTCTATCCCAGTCTTCTCCCCACATGATCCATTAACAATGGCTTCTGGATTTCACCCCTATCATTTTTCCTTGTTATTACAAAAGCTCAGCATCCACAGAACTGTTGAAAAGCAAATCCTTACACAGATGAAAACTTCGCAGCTTTGTAAGTTCAGTAAAGACAAATCCCTCAAACTTTTAAGATAGTTCATAAATACTTCCCAGTAAGTTTCAATGCTTGCTACTTTTACTTACGACATCGGGCTTGCTAAAAACATCTTTAAAAAATGTGTTTCTATTAATTTTGAAGGTTTTTGAATTTTTTATTTTCAGTATTTAAAATGGACACTTAAAACTCATTATCATCCTTATAAACATCCCATTTATATTGGACATTTTTACAGAATGTTTACAGGTCATTAGTTTTGGGTCAGTAAGAAATGGTAAAGGCATCTCCTTCCATTATCTCCAGTCACAGAAACTAGGGCACAGAAAGATCTAAAAAACTTGCTCATTATCAAGCTCAAATGGCACAGCATACTATACAAAAACATTATTCTACATCCTACTTTGGAGAGCAGCAATTGAGATCTTAAAAGCTTGCAAGCAACCATCTGGTCTCTCATTTGGAGCAAAGAATGATGAAAAACAAAAACACATGGCAACAACTGATCCAAGGGACTAGGGGGCTATGCAAACCTCAGCCTATATGACCATGAGACTAGAATTACTAGATGGTGCTTGGCTACTACTGTCAACTACTTGGAAAGGGATCAGTGTAAGAGATCCTGGATAGAGTGGGAAAAAAAAATGTGGAACACAAGAACAGACACATGCACACCCATGTTCATCATCACAGCACTATTTACAATAGCGAAAAGTTGGGAACAATCTAGGTGTCCATCAAATGAGGAACAGATAACCAAACTGTGGTACATACACACTATGGAATACTATGCAACACTAAAAAATAATGTGGAATCTGCAGACCACCACATAATGTGGGTGAACTTGGAGCACATTATGCTGAGTGAAATAAGTCAATCACAGAAGGACAAATATTTTATTAGTCTGCTATTGTAAAAGTCAAGGAATGGTTTATATATGGAAGGAAATTTTCTTTGTTGGTTACCAGGGGAGGAAGGGGAGGGCAGGGAACACAGATAGGTAGAGATAAGTATTGATATGGGAGAGGAGAAAGGCAATGAACCAAATGTGAGTGATCAATATGGTGGCACTGAGGAAGAGGAGGACATAGAGAGGTACATGGGAGGTACAGGCAACAAAGATGAACCCTTTTGCACATACAGTACTGTGTTGTCAGTGAAGGCAAACACGGGTATACGGGTGGATAGATGGGTGGACAGGCTGAACTATTAGGTATGTCTGTGCACCAGGGAGTGTACCTAAGACCATGTATAGGGATGGCAGACAATGGTTCTACAAGTGTATTTGTATGTTCTTTAAGAATTCCCAGGGGTATAGTAGAGCTGACAAGGGACAAGGTTGTAGTCACTTCTTGGGCACAGCCAGCTACCCAGAGGGACCGAGTAGTTGAACCTGTGGGCTCAGGACCATAGTCACAGGGGACATCAAGCTCAACTGGCATAACATACTATACAAAAACATTGTTCCAAATTCTACTTTGGCAAGCACTTAAAAGCTTGCAAGCAACCATCTAGATGCAACAATGGGTCTCTCTACATCCAGAGCAAAGAAGAATGAAGAAAACCAAAGATTCATGGAAACAATTAGTCCTAGTGACTGGTACACCATGTGATCCTCAGCCTATACGACTATGAGACCAGAAGAACTAGATGGTGCCTGGCTACCACTATCAACCATTCAGAGGGAGATCTATGTAGGAGATCCTGAATAGAGGAGAACAATGTGGAACAAAACTCAAAATCATATGCAGAAAAAAACAGAAGAAAGGGGACCAGGTTTGCTGGTCTGATAGAGCCTAGTGGAACTACTGAGACTATGGCCCCTAGCTGCCCTTCAGGTCTGGAATTGAACCAACACCTGTGGCTTCCAGAAAAACAAAAGACAGGCATATGGGTTGAACATGTACCTGAGGTAGATACACTCCTTGGAGAGAACAATCATGGGAGAAAGAAGGGCTGCTCATGCACAGGGAGCACATGGGAGAAAGAAGGGCTGCTTATGCACAGCTCAGGGGGCAGGAGTGCATGGAGAGATGGACACAGGGAAGAGGTAACTATCAGGAGGAAGTGGGAGGGCAGCTGTTGCATTGGGGGTAAACTGTAGTCAATGTCATGAGACAACGTGTGTGTGAGCTGCTATATGGAAAGTGAATTTGCTCTGTAAACTTTCACCCAAATCACAATTTTTTTAAAAAAGTTTAAAAAAAAAAAAA